TCCACTTTACAGAAGAGGTTTGTTTCCCAACAGTGTGTCCCTGGTCCATCCCTGGGATCAGGAGGAATGTCCCTCTTTAAATTTGGAGCTTCCTAAGAGTAGCAATAAGAGTTATAACTAGGGTATGGCAACAAAGATTCTGCACTAGGGCACCAAAATCAGATTGGGGGCAGGGCCTTCTTCCTCATCAATATTCCAGACTGCCAGCCCCCCCGTCCTCCACTCCCCCCCCCCCCGTCCCAGAATCCCATTGTTGTAGCCCCCTTGTCATGGTACACACCTTACCCACCCCACCACCACAGTCCCCCTCCACCTGTTCCAGGTTGGGTATTTTGAGGTTGGAGACCACAGACTGTGTGCTCCAAGGAGCATAGAACTCTTAGAAGCTGTACTCTCAGGGACCTTATATCCTACCCTCATGCAACTAGACTGGGGAAGGAATGCCCTCCATGCCACCTCCCCTACCTTGGGATTGTAGTTAAAGTTCAGGAAGGTACCTCACCACCATACACTGGGCTCCTTAACTGCTTTTCTGGTCTAATTCAAGTGCACCGCTTCCATAAGGCCAATCCCAATCCCCACAAGTGGCCGGTGCCCCATCCTGAAATTACTTTGTTCTTATTTTGTCTATCATTTGCTTAAGTCTGCATGTTGCTTCTTCCCAGTAAGACCGTGTAAACCTTTGCCTAGAGGGCAAAGATTACTTCATTTTTGTCTTTGTACCTAACACAGTGCCTAGCACCAATGAATGTCACTAATTGCAGGTGATGACACAGAAAATACTCCTACACCAACCAGAATACGTTGGATGGTCAGGGACATAGTTCTGCTCCTGGGATACAATTATATAAGCATTTACTCTTGGCACTTACTAGCTGTGTGACCTTGGACAAGTCGCTTAACCCCAATTGCCTAAGCAAAAAAAAAAAAAAAAGCAGCATTTACTGAGTCATCTCCAACCGTGTTGTCTCTACACATTTTCCACTCAAGGCCGCACTGGAAAGGTGGACTTCACACTTAGAGGCACCGTGAGCTTTTGCGAGGCCTTGTCTTCACGGATCCAGGCCTCTACCACATTTGTCAGCTATTTCCACACCAGACAGACGCACAGGACCATACCATCCCTTCCCTTTCCAGTTCCCCTTTACATGTTGTCTCCCCCCCCTTCCCCCATTAGACTGTAAGCTTCTTGAAGGCAGAGAAGTGTTGCTTGTACTTGTATCCCCAGGATTTAGCATAGTGCCTGACATAGTAAGTGCTTAATAACTTCTTTCTTCTATCTACATGTCTATCTTCCATATATCAGTATCTGTCTCTATCTCTCTCAACCTACCTATTTTGAAAAACCAAGACACCACCTTTGTGAATTTTGCCATCAAGACAATCGTCCATTTTCTTTTCCTTTCTCGAGGGAAAACTTGAACAAAGATGAATAGGGTACATGTGTTTCTTGGGTTTTTTTTAAAGATCCCCAGAGCCTATGATTCTTACTATTTATATTCTTCCCTACATACAAACACAGACACCCAGACATACAGACACACACACACACACCAAGGCAAATGAAATACACCCATGTCCTGGGACCTGAGAATGGGGCAACCTGCCATTTTGTTTCATCCACAACTGTATTTGGCATTAGAGGACCTATTTTGCAACTTACTACCTATGAGACCTTGGGAAAATCACTAAACTTCTTAGACCCTCAATTTGCTTATCTGTAAAATGGGGAGTTAGCTATTAATAATAAGATTTATACAGCCCTATGTGCCAGGTACTATAGTAAGCGTTTTACAATTATTTCCTCATTTAATCTACACAACAACACTGGGAAGAGGGTGCTATTATTCCCATTTTATAGATGAGAAAACTGAGGCTGGAAGAGGTTAAGTAACCCAGAGTGACACAGCTAGTGTCTGAGGCCAAATTTAAATTCAGGTCCTCCTTCCTCAGGATTCCCTGCTCTCTCTCCACTTTACCACCTCATAGCTATATTACTAGGCCTATACTCCCAAAGAGATCAAAGAGAAAAAGCACCCGTATGTGCAAAAATATTTCTAGCAGCCCTTTTTGTTATAGTAAAGAACTGGAAATTAAAGGGCTGACCAGTAATTGGGGAATGGTTGAATAAATATGGTGTATAAATACAGTGGGATATTATTATTCTATAAGACATGAAAGGGATGACTTCAAAGAAACCTGGGAAGACTTAACTGATGCAGAGCAGGGTGAGCAAAATGAGAACAGTTTATACAGTAACAACATTGGAAAGACAAACAACTTTAAAAGAATTTGGGACTCCAGTCAATGCAAAAACCAACCACCACTCCATGGGACCAGTAATGAAACATGCTACCCACCTTCGGACTGAAAAGTGATGGAAAGATGTAGAATTAAGGTATATATTTTCAGGCACAGCCAATGTGGTGACTTATTTTACCTGACTGCATATTTTGTTACAAAGGTTTTGTTGTTCTTTTCTTATTTTGGCAATTGGAGTGACAGGAGGGAAAGGGGAATTAGGGTTAGGATTCCTTTCCACCCCTGACCCCCAATAAAGAAACAAACATGAAAAGAGAACAGAAAGCCAGAAGGAATCACACACAAAGCAGCACAGCTCTGAAAATAACAAGTTGAATTTATTATATACTTTAAAAACAAGCTCTGTGACTTTACATGTATAATTGATATCAAATTGCTTGAAGTGGGAAGGAGGTGGGAGGAAAGAGAATTTGGAACGCAAAAAATTTTTTAAATGAATGCTAAAATTTTTTTACATGTAACTGAGAAATATCTAACAAAATAAAAATATATTTAAAAAATAAAAGCAAGTTCTAAGTAATATTCAGTTGCATGTACAATCCTCTCCTGTTCCACACTATACATGGAAATGCTCATTTTATTTGGTCTTCAAGTTTAGAATAAAAACAATACAGAAAAAATGAAATGAAGATGTTGGGCTTTACCACCTGTAAAGTCCCTTCCAGGTCCAAGTCTATGAAATGCTATTATCGCCACAATTCTGAAGCTAGGCATTGTGAGGTTCTGGCTTGAAAAAGAGATTTACTCTATGCACCCCAGGAAACCAGAGATGCCTCAGAAAGAAGGGGTCAGAGGCATCCACTATCCTTCCCCAAGCATTTCCTTCTATCTCAAAGCCTTTAGCTGGAGCACAGGCCTACCGAAGAACAAGGGTGCCACCTAATGGAGACACCCAGGTCTCACAAACGAATCCCAGAAACCCCAGGCGATTTTCTCAAAGCCCTGAACTCTTTCCATCCTAATGAGACCAAACTACAAAACTCACAGTCCTTCCTCTTCTCCCTGACTCACCACGCTGGAGATACACAAGGATGCACAGACAGGCCCTGAGGGACCTCATCATCAGACATCCATGAAAGCATTTTTTTTGGACATGACTAATGCAGGAATTTGTTTTGTGTAACTATACATATTTGTAATGGGTTTTGTTTTTCTTGCCTTCTCAATGGGTTAGGGGAAGGGAGAAGGGAGGGAGAATTTGGAATGGAAAATAAAATCGAATCACAAAAAATATGGAAAATTTTTGAAAAGCAAAAAAAAGAAAAGAACAAAGCTTCCCTCCATGTAGAAAGATACCATAGGAGAGCCTGCAGAAATGAGGAGAAACGGACCTAGGACAGCCAGTCCCAACATGTTGGGGAACGGTGCAAGAGCATGGGGATGCAGATGTAATAGAGGCTTCCGGTTCCCCTCCTCCCCAAAGAAGAAAGGATCCAAATTTTCAAAGAAAAGCCAGATCTGGAATGAACAAATTGTATTCTACCAGTTGTAATGGAATATTCTTGTGCCACAAGAAATAGCTAATTTAGAAAGACTTCTGTGAAATGACAGAGTGAATAAGGAGCAAGAGAGGAAAAAAAAAACACATACACTAACCCCAAATACTAATAGACATACGAATTAGATTAATGAAATGACCAATGTTGACTCTAGGGGGAGGATAATGAAACATACGTCCTTCTATGAAAATACTTGGACATGGCTTTGGTAATTGTTTCTGTCGGTCACAAGGAAAAGTTCCTGTGGTAGGGAGTGGCTGGTTGGAAATTATTGGTAAAATAAAATGATTTCCAATATATTTGAAAATAAGAAAAAAAAGAGTGACCTGTAAGCTAAGACCTCTCAACGGCAGTCCTTTTGGTCCTTGAAAAACAGAAGGGGAAACAAAGGGCATTCAGCCAAATCTACTCCCGTTCTCCCAAAGCTTTCCGGGTTGAGGAGGATCTCCAGTGGGCTGGGCTCTGCAACTGGGCACCAAAGCACCACACCAGGAGTTGGGAGACTAAGAGCTCTAGTCCTGGATCTGAAACAAATGAGCTGTGTGACCTTCTTTACCTCTCCAGGCCTGTTTCTTCCTTGCAAAATACTGTTAGGATTAGATAGTCTCTTCTGGCTCCGACATTCTCCATCAATGTTTCTACTACACGGGCAGGAGTCATTCTTCTTTTCCTTATGTTCTCCTTTTAGGCCCAGAGACCCAGATAAATTACCTAATCTCTCTGGGACTCAACCTTCCCATCTGTAGAATGGGGGCAGGGAGGGTGGACTACATAAGACAGACTCTGAGGTCCCTTCTGGTACTAAATTAGTAACCCTCTAACTCCAACCCTTGGGCTTGGGATTATGCCGATAATAACAGCTAGCATTTACCTAGACCTTTAAGGTTTGCAAAGCATGTTTTAACACGTTACGTGATCTCATTTCATCCTTGTAACAACCCCGAGAAGTAGGTGCTGTTACAATAATCTCCTTTTTTCAGATGAGGAAATTTCACCTCTCTCAAGAAGTGAAGTGACTTGCCCAGCTAGTATTTGGGCCAGAATTCGAACTGGGGTCTACTGGACCCCGGATCCAACTCTCTATCCTACCATCAGCCCAATCGACCAGTCATTCTATCTCTTTCCTCCATAAACCTCCTTTTTCTGCCTGGGGGTGACAAAGACAGACCCCACCACCACTACACACATACACACATAAGTTTAATAGCAGCTCACATTTAGATAGCACTTCGGGGCTTACAAACCATGTCAGGTGTATTTGTTCCTTACGTCAACCCTTCAAGGGAGGTGCCGTCACTTTACAGATGAGGAAACTGAGGGACAAGGGGTATAGTGAATTGCCCAGAGTCTGAAACAGGATTCGAACCCAGGGCTTCTTGACTCTAAGTCCAACAGGCTATCCAGTGTGCCTCAGTCCAGGCATTTACGGTCCCCTTGTCCTTGGAGAAGAAAGGTGAGGCACACTCTGTCCCATCCTCCCCACCACAAAGTGAACAAGTGGCTATTGTCAAAGTCACTTTGCTTCCAGCAAAGCTCAATGATACCATGAATTCCCTCCCACCAGCTCCTATACTGAAGACCCCCAGTGTGGGCTGACATTGGTATGGTTTGTGAGCGTGTGAACACACTCAAAAACACACTCTCAGGGACTCAAATGTACTTGGACTTGCCCAGTACTCAAATTCTCAGCTATCCTGATATACAAAGACAAAAGTGAAACAGTCCTGCCCTCGTGGAGCTTACAACAGATACAAAGTGGTTGGGGCAACGGCAGAAACAGGGCCTCTAGAGGCCAGAAGAGGATCCAGAAAGGCTTCACTTCATGGCAGGGGAGGCAGAGGAACACCAGCCCCACTCATGTTGAAAAGAATGACCAAAGGCAGATACACCCATGTGCACACAGGCAACCCAGAAGCGAGCAGATGCCCAACAACGCAATCAGCCCCCCCAGCAGTCTCTCTCTTCCTGATCCAGCCTCTGCATCCGCAGCTGGTGCCCATACCCTTGGGCCTTGGCTGGCTCCAGCCTCAGGTTCTTCAGAAGAAGCTGGGGATTCCTGAGAGTCACCAACAACAACACTTGTTTCTTTGTCAAGCAAGTCTTCCTGTCCCTTCCTCTGGCTGATGATGGAATGGAGAAGGATCCCTGTTCAACACAAAGAGGACAATGACTGGATTGTGGAAAGAAGAGAAGGAAAGGGGGAAAATTGGGGAAGATAAGAAGAGAAGAGGGGAGTGGAGGGGAGGAAAAAGGAAGGGAGGTAAGGAGAGAAGAGGAAGGGATGAGAAAGGACGTGTGGCAGGTGTGGGAGGAGGGGCTGTTTGTGTTTTTATATTCCCAGCACTTAGCCCAGTGCCTGATACATAGGGAGGTAAGGGAATCCTTACCTGCAGCCACAGAGACATTCAAGGACTCCACTTCTGGGGTGAGCTCCCGCCCAGGTCGGATGGTTAGTAGAACATGACACAAGCTTCTGACTTCATGGGATAGCCCAGAACCTTCATTTCCTATACGGCAGAGACGGGGCAGAAGAGTCAGTACTGCCCATAACTTGAGCTTTGGAAAACAGATACAGCAGGGAAGGGGTACAAAAGAAGAACAGAGAAATGCAAGAGGAATCTCATCAGATAGCTGGATTCCTGTAACCTACCTAACACCAGGAGAGTAGATCGGTCCCAGAGGAACTCTACACAACTGGCAATGGGGATGTTAGAGCACTGAGCAATCCCAGACCCTGGACAGCCCACAGTGCCAGCCACAAGCCAGCCTTGTTGAGCCTTAGCCTGGCAAGGGGAAGGAGAACAGTGTGATTTTCTGATTCACCACACATTATCAGTAATACTATTTAATTAATCAACAACTATTTATCAAGAGCCTTCTATGTATCAGGCACAGGGCTAAGTGCAAGGAACAGAAAGACAAAAACAAAAAACAGCCTCTACGCTCAAGCAGTCTATATCCTAGGCTACAGGAAGCACACAAAGAGAGAAAACAGGGGACTTATAGTGGTTTGCGTGTGAAAGAAATCAGGCTGAGGGCAAAGAAAAATGCAGAAGTTGGGAATTCCATCTCTACTGCAAGGTTCCTGGAATCTAGGGGAGATTAGCAAGAGCTTTCTGAATCCTTCTCCACCATGCCCCTCGTCCCATGCAGCTGCACCTTCACTGTTTCCCTATTCTGAAACACTGGCTCCTCACTGCCCCGACCTGGAGAATGGAAAGGGGGCTGCTAAATATGGGACAACATTGCCTCCAAGTGGCCAGCAACAGAGATACAGCTAAAAACCCAGAAACAAAAATTGAGACAAAAGATTTTCAGGGGCCTATCAGCCTGATTTCTTCCCAAGGTCAAGTACAGTTCTGGTTTAAGACAGCCACACACCAGTCAGACTGACCAAGGTCTCCAGGTAGGTTTAAGGAGAGGCTCTGAAGCAGGTTTTTGGAAGAAGAAATCAAAGCTATATCTGGTCACATGAAAAAATGCTTTACATCATTACTGACTAGAAAAATACAAAACAACTTTTATTAAAACACCTATTAGATTGTCTAAAATGATAGAAGACAAAATGACAGATGTTGGAGGAGATGTGGAAAAAGTGGGACGATAATACACTTGGCGGAATTGTGAAACGGATCCAACCATTTTGGAGAGCAATTTGGAACTATGCCCAAAGAGTTATAAAACTGTGTATACCCTCTGACCCAGTAATTCCATTATTAGAACTGTTTCCCAGGGTGACTGGGGAAAAAGGAAAAGAATCTATATTTTCTAAAATATTTATAGCAGCTCTCTTCATGGTGAAAAAGAAATGGATGGCCATCAATTGGTGAAAATGGCTGAATAAGTTGTGGTATATGATTGTGATGGAATATTACTGTGCTGTAAAAAATGATGAGCAGGTAGATTTTAGAAAAACCTGAAAGGAACTTGCATGAAATAATGAAGAACGAAACAAGCAGAACCAAGAGAATGTTGTATACAGTAACAGCAATACTGCAGCTAAGCTATTCTGAGTAATATGAACATTCAAATCAACTATAAAGAACTTATGAAGGAAAATGCTATCAACCTCCAGAGAGAGAACTAATATATGGAAGTAAGTATTGAATGGTTCCACATATATATTTATATCTAATGTTGGCTTCTCTAATGAAGGGTTGGGAAGATTGCAGGGAGACAACTTGGAACTCAAAATGTAACCGAAAAAAATTTTATTTTTGTTTTTTTTTCCCAAAAAAATTTAAATAGAAAATTACAAAAAATTACATGTAAAAAAATTTTTTTTCTCTAATTTTTCTGTGTCCCTGGTGTCTGGAATATAGAAGAAGCTTAGTAAATGCTTGACACATTGAACTGAAGGGAATAAAACTGAACTGAACACTCCAAAAAAAAAAAAAAAAAGGAGAGGCTCTATAGTCTGGGCCCCCCTTTAGCTAGACCTCCAGGGGCATGGAGGCATTGGATCACTCTTTGGGAATAAAGTTCAGAATCCCAAACCATAACATTAGATTCATCTGGGACTAAGAAACTAATCCCCCCTGAAATCTAGAATGAAATACAGACATGATACCATTACCATCTGTCAATCTCAGCTGCTCTGCTCCCCATTCCACTAGAGTTATAGCTAGATAATCAATCAACAGCGCTTTAGTAAGCACTTACTATGTGCCAGGCACTGTGATAAGTGTTGTTGATACTATGAAAAAAAGAAAGAAAACAAAACGAAACAAAACAAAAACAAGCCCCTCAAGGAGCTCACATTTGAATGAGAGAAACAGGTATATACAAAAAAGAATAGATACAAGGTAACCGATGAGGGGAGTATACTAATCCACTCCACTACTAATTACCTTCAGCAAGCCTGGAAGATCATCAGTTGCAAAGACATCCATTACTTCCATGACTCCTGCACTGGCCTTGCTAACCACTGGGGTCAGGGGGCAACTGCAAAATTCAATTTCAATTAGACTCAACAAACATGTTAAGCACCTACTATGCACAAGGCACTAGGGACAGAATTAAAATAGTACTAGCCCTCAGAGTTTGGATTCTTCTAGGGCAGGGGTTCTTTGCCTAGGGTTTATGGATAGACTCTGGGGAAAGAAACAATCATTTATTTAGTATTTACTATTTGCCAGGCATTGTTTCCAGGGGACATAAGAACTTGGCTGGGGAAAATTATCTTATTATTATATTTCATATATGTTTTATATATGTACATATATGTCATAGAATTACAGCTTATTTTCAAACCTTTGGTTTCCTTGTAACCTTATGTATTTTATTTCATGCATTAAAAAAAAAATGAACCTGAGAAGGGGTCAGTAGGCTTCCCCAGACTGCCAACGGGGGTCCACGATGCAAAAAAGGCAGTGAAGTCAAAGGATCTGAGTTTGTATCCCAACTTAAGTCCAACCTGTGTGACCTCTGCTATTTAGCCTCTCTGGGCCTCAGTTTCCTCACCGATAAAATGAGAAGTATCATGATGAGGTATCATAATACAGTGGGGAAAAAAAAGAGCTGGGTTGGAAGTTTGAGGAGCTAGGTTCAAATCAGGTACTCTCTCACTACCTGAGTGACTCTGGGCTGTTTCCTATCTGGAAAATGCAGAGAGTGGAACGGATGACCTCTAAGGTTTCTTCAAGTTCCAAAGCTACTACTTAGTGAATAAACACATATTTGAGGAGGAAGACTGAACTAATAGAGAGGATCTGTTGAGAAACCACAAGTTTTCCCCACCCTCCAGCTCCAAATTTGTTAAGTTACCCTACACTCCTTCCAACTCACCCCGGGAAGCTTTGGCCTCAAAAGGGGATGAACGTAATTAGGGAGGAGGTGGAGGGGAGGGAGTGAGTGGAGAAGAACACAAACCACAAATCTTGGCCCACAAGAGGCTGATGGGCAAGAAGCTTCCAGGTCGAGGCGGAGGCCACAGGCCAGGAGCTAGGGGGTGGGCTATCTACAGGCGGCCGGTGGGGTTCGAAGGGAGGTCGAGTGACTTGAGGCCGAGCAGGCAGGGTGGACGGTCCCAGAATGTTGGGGAAGGAGGCAGAAAAGCTCTACCTGTTCCTCCGGCTGGTAATGACCTTGTCCACGCCCAGGAAGTGCGCGGTGCGCAGCACGGCGCCCAGATTCCGAGGGTCCTGGATCTCCTGCAGGATTAGCCACAGGCGCCGCGCCGCAGGCCCCTCCGCCGGCCCGTCCTCTCTGCCCTCCGGCCAGGCTTTGGGGAGTAGCGGGGCCACCTCCATACACACGCCCTGATGAACTTGACCCCGGCACAAGGCATCCAGCTCCCGCCGCCGCATCAGCTGCACCGGGACGCCCAGAGCCTCGGCGGCTCGGGCCAGTTCGGCCCGCGCCCCGTGTCCCGCGCCTCCCTCATGGAGAAGGAGACGGGCCATATTCCGACGGGAGGCCCGCAGGGCTAAAGCACAGGGCGCCAGCCCGAACAAGACTTCCTGCCGCCCGACCAGGGGCAGGTCGTCCTCCCGGAGGCGGAGAAGCTCCGCTCCCCCCGGCCGGGCCTCAGGCCGGGGCCCCGCCTTCCAAGGGGGCCGCCTCGGGGAAGAGCTGTTCCGAGAGAGAAGCCGGGCTGAAAGAAAGGCAAAAGCGCGCCGGGCAGCAGCCCCGGAGCGAGCCGGCAACCGCAGCATGTCCCACACACTTGCCACCCGGCTGCAGTCCTATCTACGGTATAGACAAGACAGCGGCCACTCCCTTCCCGCCTAGGGGATCCGGCCTTTGGGCCCGACGAAGGCAGAGGAACTAGGAGTCCTGGCTCCTAGCGGCATCGGGAGGTCCAGGGTCTCCAGCCAGCACCTCCGCTACGAAACCCAGGCGGCTAGAGGAGAAGGCAGGCGACGCACGTGCATCCACACCCACGTGAGCGGCCTTCGGGCTCCGCCCCTTCGTAGTGAAGGCAGAGTAGGACTTTTGGCGCAGCGTTAGCAGAGCCAGCTAGCTCAGCCTGTGGCTTGTTCCCACAGCGCCACCTGCTGGGTCGGGGGGAGGGGTGGAATGGGGGCCTGGAATCCTTGACCCCATCATCCCTTAAACTTCAGTTTGTAGGAGATTAAGGTTTCATTATCCCTGTTCAGCCAGACCTAGAGTGTTCATGTTCACAGTGACCTGTGTCTCAGGATGGACAGAGCTTTTAAAAATTCTAGATAGGAAGGTCTGGGAAGGATTCTGGTGACTCCCATCCCTTCCAGGTTGGGGTATGGTGAGGAGCAGAGAGGACCCCATAGGGTTGTGACTCATGCCTAAAGAGAAGGCTGTGCCTGTATGAAGTCTGTATGTGACTGCTGAAGATGACAGAATCCTGTGTGGAACAGGGTTATCTATGCAAACCAAGTGTCAGTGGATGATCTAATGATGATTTCATGAAAATGTTATCAATAAAATTAATCTCTCTCCCTCTCCCCTCTCCCGGGCTATTCAGCCCAATATTCTGCAGGGTTACATGGGGCATTGTATTTCTTTTCCCTGACAAGATCAAGACTTAGAAATGTAAACCAAAGTTTCCTCCTAACATGGTTGTACCCTGATCTAATCTTTTTTTGGAGCATGCTTATACCTGCATCACCAGGAGCCCACATGGGGCTCCTTAAATTTACTATTCACTCTATACCCTTTCCATTTCTTTCTACCACCAACAGAACAACCTGCCCCTGCCCCAGCACCCAGTCCCTCTCTTTCTCTCTCTCCCAACCCCAGCCCTAAAAGCAACAGAGCTCCTCTGGATGGAGGACCCCTCCCACTCAGAGAGTCATCTTAATATGCTATAAACCCCTACCCCAGGGAAAGGAGTAAGTGGAAATAAATTCCCAAAGCCAAAAGTTTGTTTTTTCTTTTTTAATTCTAGAAGTGAAAACCTGTTGGGAGACAGGGCCCTGATGTTGTCCGGCTGCTGCAACCAGTGTGGAAAAATCCCTCGAGAGCCCAGGGTCAGAGAAAAGGGAAGAAGGAAGATTAGCAGGAAGAAAGGGAATAGAGAAAAGGAAAAGGAAAGAAGCCCGGAGCCAGAGGGGAGGGCCTGCTCCCAGACCCTGAGGAGGAGGTAGGGTGAAGAGAAGCATCAGTAAGTACTGCTTCTCATCTTGGCCTCCTTCTCAAGGAGGAAAGGAGATAAAAGAGGACAAAGCTCAATGAGCTCCAAACAATGAGTAAGGGGTAACAGATTAAGAAGTGAAATAGACAGGAACCACCCCACCACCCACCACCCAGTTTTCATCTGTAAATCACATCTGCACATGAAACAATTTGAGATTACAAAAAAAAAAATTTTGGTTTTGGTTTTTTAGTTTTTTTTAGTCCTGGGGGCAGAAGAAGGTGATTGAGTCCAAGGGTCAAAAATTAACACCTACAATCCAGATTTAGGAGCCAGGCAGTAGGGGTCCATGCCCCAGGCTGGGCTCCCAACCAGATGCTATGTCACCTGTTCCGTTGGCATTATCTGGATGTCTCCAATCTGCAAACAGTACAGTGGAGTGGGCAAGACTTAAGCTCTCTCAACTATCTTCTACAACCCCCAAAAAAAGGCTATCTCCAAAGCTAAAGCAAATTGCTGAGAACTGCCACACATACACACCCACCCCTCCAAGCCTCTAGTTTCATTTAGAGCTTTCTGTGAGTAGTCAATCTAACAATCCCTCCCTCCGATCCAGAGAGAAATTAGTATAGCTACTACATAAACGTACTTCCCACTTCCATTATCTTTTCCACTCTTCTGCTATAAAGTCCTGAAGTCCCCAAAGGAGCAATAGTCAGGTCTAGACTCACCTGGACATGTGGTGGGGTGCTGAGGACAAAGATGACGGCTTCAGCTACATCCTCAGGTTTGAGACACTGAGAGCATCAGGAGAAGGGATGAGAGACCATTCCTATTCCTGTTCTCCACCTCAATCCCCCCCTCCCCCGTACACCTATCCTCCTCTTCCTGACTGAGGCCCTCAGTCATGGAACATCTACTGATTATAGGACTTGGCCATTCCAGTAAATGATGCTTTTGGCTACTTGAATTTGGGGAGTTAGGAGGTCATCGACTTGAAAACTGGATTGAATCAAAATTTTTTAGAGCTGAAAGGTACCTTAAGGATCATCTAGTCTGACTCCCTCATTTTACAGCTGAGGGAAATGTGGCCCAGAGATGTTAGGATTTGCAAAGTCACCGAGCAAATCAGAAACAGAGCTGGGACTGGATGGAATCCAGGCGGCCCCACTCCTAGTCCAAAGCTCTCTGAACAATACCATGAGGCCATGTCCTCTCCCCTATGGCTCAGTGTCCAGCCCTTCAGATCCCACCTGGATGTGCTCGTAGGTCTCAGCTGCTTTCACAGGGTCATTGTCATGAAGTTTGAAGGCAAATCCTGTTTCCACCAGCCCAGGGCAGATGCACTAGAGGGGCAGAGGGTGCCTGCTCAGGGGGTAAGCCTCCATTTCCACTATTCCTCCCCTTCCCCATTCCCTATCCCATGGGAGGGAAAGAAAATCAGCAAAAAAGAACGAGCCACAATGAAAGGGTCACAGTAAGGGAATTCAAGCCCAAGAGCTCTTATGCAGAAAAACCATCAACTGCCCAGCCTGCAGAAATGACCACTCAATGTCCAGCAACCCTTGCATCCTCTACAAAGGACATCAACTGGTAATCTACTCTCTGATAATCACATCAGCCACAACCCAATCCCATTGCATCCAAGCGGCCTTCTTGATGCAACCCTGCCCCAGGTCCTCCCTTCTGCCTCAGAGCCTTCGCCTGGTCATTTTGTCCCAGATCAGAGGAGAAAACTGAGGCTCAGGTCAGGGCCATGAAAACAGCAGAGACAGGAAGAAACTCAGAACTTCTGTCTCATTCCCCGCCACGTGTGAAAGCACTGTGCATCGGGCCAGGAGAACCGTACTCCCTCTAAGGGGGAGGTTCACCCGCCTTAAATCCCCCCTTGGGACAGGTGTTCCCTCACTGTGGCTCGGATGTGAGTATTGGCCTCTCGAAGCTCCTGCCGCAGTCCCTCGGTTAGTGCCGTAATGGCAAACTTGGTTGCGCTGTAGAAATGCACATCAGACTGGGCCACCACCCGGTAACCCGACATGCTGCAGAGGAAGGGTGAAATCAGGATATGAGAGGAGAGTCCATCCCTTTCTCACAACTAGCCCCTTCAAGGCCCTTCCTTTGACTCCTTCTCCTCAGTTATTCTGCCCTCTCCTCACTCCAAAATGTGTACTTAATACCTTAGCTTCTCTGCCCTCTCCTAATCCACTGAATTTGCTGACGATTCCCTTCACCTCTCTTTGAACTATACCTGAAATGTCCTTCCCATCAATGGCCATTCACAGGATCACAAGATTTAGAGACTCAGCCCAGGGATTCTTAACCTGGTTTGTGTCATAGACCCCTTCTCAGAATGTTTTTAAATAATTGAAGGAAATATTAAATTTCAGTTAGAAGCTAGTGAAAATAAAGATTTAATTTTTTTTCCCCCATCCAAGTTCATAAACCCTCTTCTATCCTTGGGCCCCTTGGGGAACTCTAGGTCATAAACAGTCCTGATCTAATGCAACCCTTTCCTTTTACAGAAGCAGAAACTGAGGTCGACAGGTGTGGTTAGATGACTTGCCTGGGGCTAGACAGCTAGCAGAGTTGGGATCTGAACCCAGGTCCTCTGAATCCAACCACTATTACCATGCTGCCCCTCAGTTCTTCCTATCACTTGAGCAGCTCCTGAGAGTCTATCCCCTCCCCTCAAGGAAACCTTTCCAGGCTACAACTGGCCCAGGAACTCCCCTCAAATCCTACTCATATCAAATACCTGTTCATATCAATGACATAAATACTGCTGCTTTCTTCTGAGACTTGTTTCTTGGTCTAATCTAATAGTTAATCACAAAACAATGGCACTGAACCATCGCTGCATCAGCACCCAACCCCCATTCACCTGCTGATGTTGATAATGTGTCCATCATCCACACTCCTCTCCCTCATGGACTGGTATGCCTCCCGGGTACAGATACTGACGGCCAACACATTCACCTGCAGGCAAGGATCGAGGATGGGGAGCTGAGAAGTCCAACAAGGAATATTTTTGGGTTGAACCAGTCCAAGCTAAAACTGAATGAGTCTGAGAGTGCTGAGGGGGAAGGAGTAGGGGACTGAGATGACTATGTGTACTTTTAGTAATTTTTTTTTCTTCTCAAGACTGTTTAAAGCCATTGGAGCTGGAGGATAAGGGAGAAGGAGATTTACTTTCTCTTGCATTTTTTTCTTAAAAGTCAGATGTGGTATTTTAACCAAGGCCTGTTAAAATTCCTAATCTCTTTCCATGTAGCCTCACAGCATTCTTCTCCCACCCCTCCATTACATGTATTTTTTACAAAAAAGCTAACAAGCAAGCAAACTGGGTGATGACTTGCAAATGAAGACCTGAAATGTTTGCTATCATGTCCTGCCCTAACCCCTTCTCAAGCTGCTACTCATCTCCGGAAAAAGAAAGGTCCGTGTTCCATCAACAAGGGATCTGCCTCAATCCCACACTGCATGGAAGAGCAGGACAACTGCAAAGGCAGCAAAAGATTGGCTCCTTTTTGTCTCCTTCTGAAGTAGTGTCTTATTGGTGATGAAGAGGACAGCAAGAACCATACTAGTACCAAAGTCTTGGGGGCCAAGGAACCAGGAAACTTCCCTGCCGCAACTACCCAGGGACCTCTACGAATGGGTTTGCCCAGATCTGCTATAAACAGCACATTTTAGCTTCCAATCTATATATTATAGCCTCCACACTGGGGCATCTCCTACTAAATGCCTTGCTCTCAGAATTTTTGGTGGCACTAGCCCTGTGCTTCATTTCCAAACAATTCACCTGGCATCAGAATGAGGAACTCATGATAAACTTAGCCTAAAAATATCTTCCCCCAGTATCCTCCTCCTTTCCCTCTGGCCCCAACTTTCCATACTTCCTACTATCATTTTCCTTAAAGAAATTCCTGGGACATGGAAAAGATAGGTTAGGTGGGGATCCCAGTTAACAATCCCAAAGGGTTTACCCACCCACACATAGAAGAGACATGAAATGGCAGCCTCGTCTTCTTTTTGGCTCCTTCTCCAGCCTATCTACATGCTATCCCACCAACCCCATGCTCCTGGCCTAACAAGAAGTTGAACTAGCTTGGTGGGGGAGCCCCAAGAGGCCCAAGGAATTACCTTTCTGGGCCCCAACAAACCCACATGCCTCTGACCTTACTTGTCCTAGCGAAGTGGGGCACTTCCAGAATCTCCACTCTCCAAAGAAAATGGCAGGTGAGGAATTGGCCCTGCTGTGACCCCACCGTGGCCCCACCAGGCTCACTGCCCATGGATAGAGATAAGCCTTTCACCAGTTCCTCACATCTCTCCTTTCAGGGAGAGAGGCAACTGGGTAGGAGGAGATTAGATGTTTCTCCTTATCAGGTGTCAGACCTAAACCTCAGGAACAGAACACCCGTAGTGTGGACCTGCTTCAGCTCCCAGTGATGTCAGCAGATGAGGCATATACAGGGAAAGGGGGTGAGGTGCTTTGCCCATCTGAGACTTCGTACCACTGTGCTTTGTACTGGGCAAACGTGAAAATAAAACAAAACACCAGAAAGTAAACCCCAGATCTAAGCAAAGAATAATTTCTGAGCAGGCCAAACAGAATCCAAGGGAAAAAAATGTTTTTTAATAATAGTAATAATAATCACTAGATCAGGGACAAAAAGATCTCCTATCCCAGAGGGAGATGGTAAAGACAGGTTGACATCAGAAAAGTCGAGGAGGGAGGTTGGGCAGGAGAGGAATCACAAGACAATAGGATCCACCCAGAATCACACAGGGCTGGGTCAGAGAAAGTCAAATCTAGAAGCTGTATCACCTAACTCCCAGGACTGTGCTCTTTCCACTATACCAAAAGTCATGTTCATTCTTGTCAACAGGAATGGAATAAAGTTTTGGGGGAAGGAAGAAGCTACCGCGTTGTATATAGTACTTAATCTTTCAAAGGAATTTCACATAAATTATCTTATTTGATATTATAACACTGTGAGTTAAGAAGAATGGTACCCCTCTAGCAGACAGCCTTGGAAAAAAGCAGGCAATTACCAAGTGTTCATTGAGATAAATTATATATATTTTAAAGAAGAGGAAGCAGGAACTCATAGAGGATAAGACCTAAGGTCATACAGCTAGCTACTGGCAGCAGCTGGAAAACAGAACAGAGACGTCCTAATTCCTAGGCTGCTGCTTTTTCTGCTAGGCAGTAATATTTTCCCAATCTTATAAATTCTCAAGAAATAGATATACAGCCTAACTCCAGGGTCAAAAAGGAAGCAGTAAGGCTAAATATTATAGTTTGAGGGAATGAGGGGGATTATTAAATCTTCTTCTGTAGAGAGACATATGACTTTCCCAGGGCCCCATTTAGTAAATCCTGGTCCTGGATCATCCATTCCAAGAAGTCAACTGTTCCACAACATACCCCATCCTCTAAGCAGACAGTCTTCTCCTTCCCTCCCACCTCCCACCCCTTACAAAAGCTACAATTCTTACATTCAGCATATCTTTCCAACCACTGGTGTGGCCACTGAGTAGGGGCTCAGGCCGGGCCAGGCCAGCATTGTTGATGCAGATATCCACACCCTTGTGTTGAGTTCGGACAGCTGAGAACATGGACAGAATGTCTTCCTCATGGGACAGGTCACATTTGTAGGGGACCAGAGTCCCTGGGTAGCCAGCACTCTGACACTCAGCCGCCAGTTTCTGGAGATAAAGAGAAGAAATCTGGTCAGGGGACTAACAGATCTGAGTTGTTAAGCGCTCTCTCTCTCTCTGTTTCTCTCTGTCTGTCTCTCTGTCTCTGTCTCTTTCTCTCTGTCTCTCTCTCTCTGTCTCTCTCTCTCTCTCTCTCAAGTCACAACTCTCTCACCCTACTCCTTCAAACATAATCTAGCCACCCCTGCCACAAAAGACTAGTTTTCAATAGTCACCACCAACTTCCCCCCAAACACCTGATGGTCTACTGCCTGGGTGATGGAGAGAGAGAGAAGTGAAGTTAGGTCCTAGTGCCAGGTCTCAACTCTCCAATCTATAGAATGGGAAGAGAATCTACCCAACCTCCAATTGTAAAAAAGAAAGACCCAGGGTCGAAAGCACACCCAGGAAAAGAATAATGTCTATCTCTATCTAGAAACTCTTATCCCCTGCCCAGCAGCTTACCCCAACCTCCTTTCCTCCACTCTAGCAAGAAAGTCACTGAGCCAGTAAAGCCAGAGCTTGTAATCTCTACCCTGACAGGTCTGGAGCTATTCTTCCTACCTCCCACTGGAGCTGCCAGAGAGGAGCCTCCCACTTACCTACACTACACTGGAAAAAGAAGGAATGATGTGCAGAAAGTTTGCTCTAGATTTCTCACAGATTTTTAAATCAGGCAGGAGAAGGCTATGCCTAGCCTCAATTCTCCTCCAGCCACCCAGTGCCATGCCATCCCCAATCTCCCCTCCCCTAATAGGAAGTGCCAAGTACCCTGGATATATTCTCCCTCTTCTCTCCTCCTTCAAGCTTTTTCCTTGGGATCTTAAGGTAGGTGACCTGATGACATGAACACATGTCTCCTTGTGAGGCTCCCTGCAAACTTGTGCTACCCCAGGAAGGGTACAGAGTATCCACTCTGCCGTTAGAGGAGCTTCAGAACAGTAAGGAAGCCTGAAACAGAGACACTAGGTAGAGAGGCCAAGACAGAGAATGCAGAACCAGACAGACGAAGAAAACCTCTAGGACCCTGTGACACTGCACAAAAACTGTCCATGAGGTGCAGTAGCAGAAGGAAAACAATCTGGTAGCTGGGGGTGGGTAGTGCCCATTCACTCTGGGCACCTGGGCTCTATTAAAGACATTCGGGTGCTGGCTCCAATCCAGTTTAGCCATCTGCCAAGGTCTCAGAGCTCCCTTCTTTTCCTACCAATGAAAGAACCTGTAAACACATAATTCCTATGGCTCAGAAGCAGTTTCCATCTCCTAATCTGACCAGGTACAGGAATCCCTTGCCAGATAGCTAGGCCTCAGAGAGTCCTATGGAGAAAGCAGGCACTGGCTTTTAAAAAAAAAAAAAAAGCCAAGGTCTAGGTGAAGAAGCAAGTGATTTGCAATGGAAACTCTGCCCCCCCTTCTCTATTTCTCCATACCCATCCTCCTCCCCAAAATAAAATTCAAACACACAAGCCATCCCTCTTCTCTAGACTCAGAATGGGCAAGGTCAAAATCCTTTCCAACTGAGTACCCCAGACTTTAGACCTGGAGGAAAAAGGAAGGAGTGGAGGCCAAAATCCTCTGGGAAAGAGTCTGGAGGAAAGGGTCATGGAAATTCAGTCTTTATCTCCTTCCCATCACCCAACCTAGCTTTCTGTAACTCTTTCTCCAGAAATCTCAAATAATTTCATTTGCCTCCACCCAGAGGTATTGTACAGAGGTTGAAACAAAGACTATATATATATATATATCCAGGAGTTTATTTATCTGGTTAGACTGAAAGCCTGTTTGGAACTCAATGACTGGCTTCCCTGGGGTTGTTTGGTCCTGAAAGGTATGACTATTTTGGTGTCAAGGGTCAAGGGATAGAAAACTGGCTACAGGGTAGTGAGATCCAGATGTCTAGTGACCAGCCTGGCCCTCTGGACAACCAGACTACACTGCCCAGTCACAGGGCTGGGACTGAGCCCTGAGCTGCTTAGAGCTGACTGGAATGGAAGGGGAGGGTAATGCAAAAGATAGGTGGAGCCAGGTGACCTTGAGAATATCAGAGAAGCTATAAAATGAATCACTAGTCAGCAGTGTCTAAGGCCTAGAACTCTGCCCAAGAGAGTGATAATCTTCTTTCTCACAGACCTTCACCCACATCAGATCTCTACACTTCCCTGAAAGGGACTTTGAAGGGAGGATGAATGATAAAGCCCTTCAGCTAAGCACTAGCCCACAGGCCCTGGAAGAAACAAGACTCTGATCTACAGTAGAAACTCCCTCTGTGCCTGTAACCTGCTTGCTCCGTCCAGCTCTGATTTCTGAGCACTTGATATCCATGACCCCAGTAGCCACCTAGCTCTTTTGGGGAGTGGGTAATGACCTAGGAGTTATCTGAGTCTCTTCTTGGAGTTCACATATTTAAACCTTAATTCAACACAATGTCATATATGGGACAGTGTAAATGACAGACATATTCCTAGTATCCTGGCTCCATAAAAGATAAATAAATTGTCATGTAGTCCATCCAAGTTAGGACTGGGAAGGAGATATTAATTATCAGGAATCCTTTCTGTGCTAAAGGCTCTTTAGAGAAGGCAACACCCTGACCTGTTCTTGCTCACTCGTAGGTCTCCGAATCCAAAATCATAATGGTTATTAATTACTGTAATTGGCTTAAGGCCCTAGAGAAGCACAAATACACTCCAAAGGGAAGGGGGTGGAGGGTGAGGAAGGAGAATGTCTCTCAAACTGGCTGCCTGGGTCCACCTGGCCTAGGTCTGTCTGGAATAGCAAAACAAGTAATGAAATGAACACCCCTTCTTCCCCCACTGATGGCTTCTTTTTTTCCTATCTCTTCTTGACTTCCCATTTGACTAATGTTCTCTTACCCTTTCCCTTCTCTTCTGCTCTAAATCCAGAGAAGGCAAGCTATCTGGGTGAAATGCTAGAGGTAAAGGATCCCATCAGTGTGGATGTCCTGGGGGTAGGATCAAGATGATACCTGGAGGAAGTACCAGATTTAGGAATGATCATGTTTTTAGGCAGGCTAGGGGTTCCTAGCCTTTGATAGCCACAGAGAAAGTTTCCAACCAACTCTGATTATCTCCCTCATTGATCATCCTACTTCCTCTAGAACTAGGGTTCTGTCCATTTTTTGTGTCTTAGTCCCCTTTGAGAGTCTGGTGAGGCTTATAGACTCTTCAGAATCACCCTTTGAGCTCCCCAGCTCCTAAAAACTACTGGGTCAGTCCATCTCCCACTCATCAGGGCTCTCCTTCCCTTCAATCCCTGCAACTTACAGCCCCCAAACTTCCCATCACAGCTCTTCCCTTTTCCAGATCCCCAACCCCAAATCCCTGGGAATATAGTTCTATCCCATAGATCCCTCAAGGACCCCTGCACCACAAAACCTCACTATTACAGCCTCCCCAAGATCAGAATCTCCAACCCCTCAGCACTGAAAAGCTCACAGAGACCCTGTACCTCAATCCCCACTATTAGAGCCCAATAACACACATTTCCAGTAACACTGTTAAAAAGACACTAATAGACTGCACATGTATAACCTTTATAAAATTGCTTTCCTTCTCAGTGAGGGGGTAGGGGAGGGGATGTTAGAAGAGAGGGAGGAAGGATGACAGGAGAAAATTTGGAACCCAAAATTGGGGAAAAAAAAAGGGGGTTAAACGTTGTTTTTACATGTAATCAAAAAACATCAAAATTTTAAAAATACACTAACAAACATATACCAAAAAAATACACTCACAAAATCTCCATGTTCAATGTCCCCACTCACACAGGGAATTCCTGATCAAAGCCCCCCAGATACCCACAATCACAGCCTCCTGAGATATCCCTGAACCTGAAATTTCTCACTATTACAACCGAACACACATACAATTCCACTATCACGGCACCCCCAAACACAAAATCTTCATGGTCACAGTCCCCCACCCACAAAAGGCACCCCAAACCCCCACTGATTATAGCCCCTACCTCTTCTGGCCCGAAAACACCCTCAATCAAGCTTCCTGAGAGACCTTTGTACCTTAAACTCCTACTAGTTCAGCTCCCCCCAACACATTCATAAAATATCACCCCCAGAGGGCACCCCGAATTCTCACTGATCAGTCTCAACTTCTCCGCCCCTCCCAGCACGTCCACCCCTCCCGCTCACCGCCCCCCAAGGGCACCCGCACGCCACCTCGACGATCCCAGCCCCGCCCCTCCCCCCGGGCGCCCCAAGTTCTCCCCGACGCGGGCCCGGGCAGTAAGTACAGTACCTCGATGTTGCTCACGGTGCGGGCGCACCCCACCACCTTCAGTCCGCGCTGCACCAGGGCTCGGGCCACGGCCGCCCCGATGCCGCCGGAGGCCCCCGTCACCAGCGCCAGGCGGCCCCGCCAGCGCTCCATGCTGGGGGTGCTGCGTTCCTTCCGAAAGCAGCCGGCCACGCCGGCCACGCCGACCCCGAGCCTCGACCCCAGCAACAGTTCTGCCTTCTCCGGCAGCCCTAGGGAGTCCATCTTCCACAGGCCCGGCGACCGACTGGACCTCTCGGCTCGGCTCGGCTGCCCGCCGACCCTCACTCAGTGGATAGGCCAGTCAGCCGCCACTCCGGCCCTACCCCCTCCCCGCCCCGGCCCCGCCCCGGCCCCGCCCCGGCCCCGCCCCGGCCCCGCCCCGGCCC